TTCGTACATACGTGTAAACATATAAAGTTTAATGCCGCGCGCAAATGTTGGAATATTTCGGTGAAATGCGCTTGCGGTTGTAAATTGAAATCCCACTGCAGAAATTCCGACAAACCCACACATTTTAACTACTTAAATATTACCTCTATGGCAATTCTATGCCATTTCTATTTCGACTCTATTTAGTGTGTTGAATTTGTTGGCTATTTGTTGCTATGTGTGAGTACTTTGTTAGGTACTAATGGTTATTAGAGTACACATTTGCTATTTAGAATTTGCTATGATGTGTACTAGCCACACACGTGCATATGAACATATATGTATGTATATGTATGAAGTTTTAATGCAGTTTGCTGTTGCTTAATGTTTTGGTGTTGGTTGTAATTTTACCTACTATTTGCACTTTTAGTTTAAATTGAATGCAATCTACCAGCATACTAACTATTCAATTAAATTAGCTTTTAATTTGGGTAATATTGAATTTGTTGCTAAGGAAAGTAAGTATTTAAAATCGAAAAATTAGAGCGGTAGTCAATTGGGGACAAACGAATATTTGCTTGCCGCCAGGCACCTGAATCTGTTATACCGAATTCTATAGAATTATGCAATTATTTTGATACTCTTACTCATATGGTTTTCTCAATCGAGCCCTTCTTGATATTTATTTTTCGTAGATAGTCTTTATATGTAAGAAAATAAATTTAGTTTTATATAAACGCCAAATTGTTGATTTAAATAAATTTTTTTGTTGCCATATTTAACTCTTATAAAATGCTTTTAAACTAATTTGGTGAAAATGTGTAACATACCTCGATGTAATATGCCAATCGAGAGGTTTTTTTTAACAGGTGGCAACCTTTTTCAAAAACATAAACAAAGAAATCAAGCTTTCTTAAGTTATTTATGATTGACACTCCCGTACATATGTATGTACATTAAAATGTTTCAATTAACTTACAAATTATATTGATTTTGAATTTCCAAACAGGTGGCAACCCCCTTCTAACATGTTTTTGAAATAAAGCTTTCTTTAAACTCTATCGTTTGGTTTGCATTTAAATGTTGATCAAATTTGTTTAGGATTTATGAACAGATGGTAACGCTGCTTAAAATTAATCGTTTTTGAATCCCTTCGTTCGGCACCCACATTGTAGTATTTTATTTAACTTAATAATTAATTGATTTTAACATTTAAAAAAGGAGGAAGCGTCGAAAGCCAACCCCCGTCAGTGTGGGAATTTAACCCAAACTAAGCCTCCTACCGTCTAAGCACTAATCCCTCTGGTACTGCCGCCAGGTATTTCGTTGGCAGATGGTTTCAGCGCGGAGCTCTGGGTTTGTTACAGTCCTGCTGCAGGCCGTTGAAAAGTTGCATCAACTTGGAACAGTTTTCTGTATTGTTTTTAGCTTCTCAATATGAATGCGGCACTGGCTGTGAACTTCTAACGACTCAGCTTCTTTAAATTTTTAAATTTCCTTTTTTTAATCGGTTTTGTTTAGCTTGCCCTTTTTGGGTGAAATCTACATAGTAATTACAAAAATTAATTCATGGAGGATCATATGTAGTCAACTTTATTCATAGGTACAAATTGCACAAATGACGCCAAAAATTTAATATTAGGCATCGTGAATTGTATACCTTAGCAGATTCTTAAGCGATTACTAAAGCATTTTGCAAAAATCGCCCATTAAATATCTACTAATGGATTTCGATCGGAAACAGGAAGCAAAATATTTAATGCAGTTGAAGTAAATCGAACCATTTACTATTTCAAAGTCAAACGATTTAAATTACATCAACAAAAAAAAAACAATCTATCTTTTACTCTGCATCCAGTCACAATTATATTTACATGGTAAACTAGTCAGGGATAATTGTTAATACTGCTGTAATTGAATCGAAAAAGAGTAAACAAAATCAGAAAGCAAAAATTGCAAAAAAAACACAAACAGACTATGACAAGAAAAAATGCAGCAAAATTGGCAGCTTTGGCGCAACCGTCGCCAAAGGCAGTTTAGCTGGTGAGGAATGGCAGCAGACGCGCTGACAAGAGCGAAAGCAAATCACTGCTTACGAGCGAATCTATGTAATTATTCATGTTGGGATTGAAGTATAATGCAAACGAAGAAAAACACCAAAAAAAAGTATAAATAAAAATAAACGGCAAACAGGAGAGATGGAACGTTTAGGGAAGTAATTCAATGCACTTCACTTTCTCTTCGCCATTGTAGATTATTTGAAGTAGTGGGGATTTTCATTTGATTTTTTGTACATAAGTATACTTATTTAGATATATGTATATGTATGTCGTTTATAATCAGAAGTGGATGCTTGCTTAAACAAGTACAAAGTTAGAAAAAATATGCACATTAGGGCGGCCAAATTTTTTTTGACTATGCACGTATATAGGATAACTCTTCGTGTAATTCTTAGCAAATTTGCCGAAGAAAACATGGGTCTAAAATAAATTTGCAGTTTGCCAAATTGCGAAAATAAGTTTCGAAGAAAATGCGAAAATTTTACACTGTTGCGCCCTGTGGTGGAAATTTTAAGAAAAATATAAGTGCAAATATGGATTCCTCATACCAAAAAAACCCATTATAGCATGTTCTTGTACAAAATTAAAGCCCTTCTTTAAGACCAGGGACTGTAACAGTTACAACTTTTATTAAAAAAATAGCTCTTTAACAGTTATTTTTTTTTTAATTACACTTTAAATAACAGTTATTTCTGATTTTTAGTTTATAAATCCGAAATAACAATTATTTTAGATTTTTATCTAAATAAACTGCAAATAACAGTTATTTTTGATTTTTAAATTAAATGTCTTAGATAACAGTTATTGAACTATAAAAGTCATAAATAAAAATCAGTCAGTGACTTTGACTTTTAAAAGTCATCAATATAAATCAGTCACTGACTTTTATTTTTTGAATGATACTTACAAAAGTTGTATGTATAACTCGTAGTCAACTGTTGTTCTCCAACACTTTCTTAATTGCGAAAAATGATAATGACATTTATACGTATGACTTAAAAAATAACTCATGACTGATTTATATTATTGACTTTTAAAAGTAAAAGTCACAAACTGATGAATTTTATAAATAAAAGTCTTCAATAACTGTTATCTAAGGCATATAATATACAAATGAAAAACAACTGCTATTTTCAGACTTTTTGGATAAAAATCTAAAATAAATGTTATTTTGGATTTATAAACTAAAAAATAAAAAATAATTGTTATTTGTTTACAAATTACAAATAAAAATTTATTTTCAAATTTGATTCTGTGTTAAAAAAGAAATGGATTGGTATATTTCACTTAGTTGTAGAACATTTCCTTCATAGTAAAATTTTCAATGACAGTTTTCATCAATAACTCCAAATCAAACTCCAAATTGATTTTAGGCCCACGGTTTCTGTGGCAAATTCATTTAGAATTACACGCTATATGCGCATACGAGAAAAATCTCCCATACACATTGACCCGCCCTAATGTACATACTTATGGAGTTAAAAATTTTCTATTCTCAAACGAGCGTATGTTTGCGGAAATGAACCAGAAGAGTAATGTTTACACTGCGAAATTTAGATACGAGTATTTAGAAGAAAACTTTGTTAATATTCCTTTAAAACGAAAAATATGTATATTTTTTAATTAAATTTTATTTGATTTATAGAAAATTTTTTTATTTTCCTATTTTTTTATTTGATTCGTAGATTTTATTTTTTTGAAAGCAAAACATTATTTTTCAATTTCATTTAATTTTTGGAAAAAAATTTTAAATTAATTTTTTTCTTATTTTTTAATTAATTTTTTTTCCGGAAAGGACACGGTAGCCACGTTTAAAAAATATCTGCGGAACCATATAAGGCACTTACCCAATTAAAGCTGGTAAATCTTTAACGTTGCGCAAACGCCAGGATAAATATTGTTCCTTATAGCCTAGATAGTCGGCAACATTGTTCCGGATTGACAAGCGCTGCTGCTGCATACTAAGCGAGCCTTGAGTCGAGGTATCAAACCCCATCACCAGCAAAATTACTTTTTAAATTAAATTTTTGATTTCCTTTAATTATCATTTTTATATTTTTTTAAAGTAATTACAGTTGTCGCATTTCTAAATAAAAAAAAAAATTCTAAAAAATTTAGTTAACGTGAAGTGCTGTAATAATGCGAATCAAAATAAAACAAAAGAGAATGAAGCAAAACAAAATCAAGTAAAATAAAATAAAACTACAAAATCAAATATGTATTTGTTGGAAATTGCTGGGAACGAGGATCGTCCCTCTGTCCTACTGGATTCTAAATAGTAGGCAGCTTCGACCACTTGGCTACCGTGGACGTAAACTCATAAGCATTGCTTACCTACTTTTGTTTAGTTTATTTTTCATTCACAATAGATAATTCTGAATTAACTACATAAATAGTTGATACGGATCCACGTTGCCGTCTGCCTATGTTTTTAAAGATATTTTATTTAAATTTTTCAAAACAAAAAAAAAAAATAATGTCATAAAACAACAAACAACTTAATTTTTTTGCAAAAATTTTTGCGCAAGTGAAGCGATAAAATTATACAAAGTTTCCAACTCAACGTCTTTGAACTCAATTAGATACTTTTAACAGATTTCGGCCTCAACAAAAAATTAAAATTAATGCACAGCATTACTTTAATGGATTGTGATCTGTTTCTTTTAGAGAAAATGTTTTCGTAATTGGTTTTTTTTCTCTGCACATTTAAGCGCTTTCTGATATTTTCGCCAACAATGCTATTTACTCCACGTTGACATGCTTTCAAGTAATAGCATTTTTGATGTCACTTATTGTGCCAAAAGTCTGAAATGAAATAGTATAAATATAATATAAAATTCATTTGAAACCTGTACTCTACTTATTCTTTTCTTCCTCTTTTCTACTTCTTTTTCTCATTACATACACGTACATGCTTGTAATCGTTATATTGGTGCTCGTCTACTTTCGCCGAATGCCAAGGCATCGAAAAAAGCTTTGTTCAATTCAACCTATCATTGGCTGCTGATTGAGGATTATACATTTAATCGGCAAGCAGGATTCGATGGCAACGTTGACAAGAGCGAACATCAGTATAATGAGCAAGTCATCAATAGAAAAAACAGCGAAAACAACAATTCCAATGAAGACAGCACCAGCAACAGCGACAGTGACAACGACATCCTTACTGGTAAATTTTTTCCACAACAAAAGCAATCGCAACAGCTGCAGCAGCAGAAAGCATCAGTGCCGGCGACATCTGTTGCCAGCGTCGCTCACACTGCCATCGCTGCGACTTCTACTTCCGCCAATAAGGCGGATAGCATGGAGATTATTGAAAAGTACCTCGAAAAAAGCAACATCAACATAAATACTGAGTTAATATTGGCAAAACGGCATACACGGCGTATACGTGACGGCTGCAGTGCACAGTGTTTTGACATAGAAGGCAAAGGTATCAAATCAATAATGATAATGTCATTTACTAGCTCCCGGTTTGCACTTAATTTTTGTCTATTTTTTTCGACTTTACTCAGCTCTGCCCGTCTCATGAGTGTTTTACTTTGAAGTACTTATTTTGTAAATTGTATCCTATCCTAAAAAATGTGTAAATTTATATTAAACAATTTCGGTTTGTCAAAACTTAAAGTAGGGTTGGAGCCCTGGTCCGAGCGTGCGTTCATTAGCCTTTCTGGCCTTTCTGGCTCCACGAAACTATGGATAAGCCAATTATTTTATATGGAGTCCTTGCCAGGTTTAAGGCACTGGAGAAGGCTACGTTAGTCGGAATGAGTGGGGCACTTAAGACTACTACCACTCGGGTCCTTGATGTCATGCTAGGCATAGTGCCTGTCGATATCGCGGGTAAAGCAGCTGCAGCAAGGGCGGAAGTCAGACTTAGGGGCACTCGTTAGCTTACTGGCTCGATTGTTGGGCACTTTAGTATTTTCGTGACTTCGATTTTATTCCTGATAACACGGATCACTGCCACCAGCTAGCTGTTTCTCTACGCGCATCCCATTTAGGGATGAGTGAACGGGGCACCGGTGAACTTTTACACTAATGAGTCATAGCGTGACGGAGATGTCGGTAACGGTGCTTTTAAATTACTCGATAAATTTCGATAACTAAAACTTTTAAATATTTCGATATACGTATATAGCTACATGGGTAAACTTTTGATAAATTTATCAATTCCTATAACTCGATTCGTTTTGACAGCCCCATAAATAGCGATATTTATCAACAAATTTTGATAACTCGATACACTATAGCAAGTCGATAAATTAATATATGTAGTGTTAACTATATAATATAAATAAATAAATTTATATAACCCAATAACTTTAAAAATATAGGTATATGACTTGATAATCCGGTAAATTTGTATAACACGATAACTTTTGGTAAACTCCTTAGTTTCTGTCTCTCGATAAATGTCGATAACTCAATAAACATTGATAAATCTCAATAAATCGATACATTCCGATAACTCAGTAAACATGGACAACCCGATAAAGTTTGATAACTATAAAATTCGATGAGAAGTAAACTTGAAACTTTCGGTTCTTATTGAGAAATTTCTATAAATTTTCTTCCACTTAAAGTTGCCCTAATTCTTATGTAGTATATGAGCAAATCTCATGAGTTATTACATTTTTCGACAAAAACGCGCTTTTGGTTATGGTGTTGCCAGATATCTGAAATATCAGAAAAATTAAGTATAAAGAATCCGAAATAATGATATTTCACTGAGAATGTACAAAAACAGTTAATTTAGAAAAAAAAATTGGATAGGGTTGCCACCATTCGAAAAAAAATTGTATATATAAAAATCGATTGCTTGCGTGTGTTATCGCATTACTCAAGAACGGCTGAACAAATTTGCTTTCTTTTTAGTTCATTTGATTTCTTTCTGTCTGTAGAAGGTCTGCCAAGAAAAAATTAGAAAAATGGTGTTGCCAGATATCTAAAACATCAGAAAAAAACATAATATAAATGAACCGCAATAATGCCATGTTTCTGAGAATGCCATATGAATAAACCATATTAATATTGAAAAAATGTTGATTCGGATTACCACCTTTCGAAAAAAACTACGAAAAGAATATTTCAATAAAAGATTTACTTATACAATACAACAGTACGAATATAGACTGAAACGTATATGAGATAGCTCTATAGCATATTTAGAGACAGGGTTACCACCTATGTATCTAAAAAACGAATAAATATTAAACAAATCACCTTATGCCATTTAATTTTAAAATTGAAGTGTTTGTTTTACATGTTCTTACGATAAATTCAACGGATAGAGAGCGCTGGAGTCGAGTTATCTATACTAATATATATTTTGAAAGCTGTTTTTTTTTCTGTTCGAAAAGTTGGACTATTGCAAAAGGGGCATCGTGTGTGTTTGAGGGAGTTTGTGAATGCGATTGCAGCCATATTTTTTTAATTGGTGGCACATTTTTGAAACTTCACAGATATGTTGTACTTGATGCCAACTTTCATTGCCTCTAACATGAAAATTCTATTTGCAAACTTCCCAAAGATATTAAAAGAAAAAAATATGATTTTCTCGAGCGAAAATGAAAAAATTTGTAATTTCGGTACTTTTTCGCCTAAATAAACTTTTTAAGGCTAAATCGGTTTGAATCTTGATTTTTTTTTTAAGGTATTTCTGGAACTCCATTGATTGAAATAAATGCACGAAGAATGCTTTAGTGACACTAATAAAACAACTCGTGAGATTTACTCATATCTATGTTTTTCCCTTTGTATTGATTTTTGTTTTTATCTTCGATTTTGTCTTCACGTTTTTATCTTCATTAGTTTTTATTTCCTTCATATCTGATTATAAAATATATTTCTTTACGACACTTTATTGTTTCGTTTATTTATCACGATATTGTGAGGAAAAACATTCATCTCAAGACTCGCTCAAAACCACTCCCAACACACGTTTTTTTACAAGTTTTCCCAAGTAACTTTTTTCATCTAAATCCATGCAGTTGCAACACTGTGCAAAGCAGCGAAGAATGGTAGTGGTGGAGTGCGTTCGGGAAGGGACGGTCGCTGCACGGCTGACAGTGAAAGCGCTACTAATAACACACTTCAAAGGAAGGATTACTACCAGCTCTACGATGTTTGGTAAGTTTCATTTTATACATACATATGTATGCACAAACATACATATATCTGGTTTATGTTTTTTTTTGTCATCGCTCGTACAGACCTGAATGTGGCTACAAGGACGTAAGATATGCTCATTAAAAAGGATATGGCTGCTTTCCAAAGTCTCGTAGACACACACACGCACACGTACAAATACATACTTGCTTTAAAGCACATACAGACAGATTTGTATTGAGTATTGGCAACATATGTTGTTACGTCGAAGCTGTTTGTTTGCGCGCACGTTTTTACATGTCGCATGCGCTCTCGAATATTTTTTTTTTTTCAATTCCGATGACAATAATCTTTTGTAAACTTTTACGGGAAATGCGAAACGTGTATGTGTTGTTAAACGAAAGTTTTTCAATTTGCTGATTGAAAAATTTTACGCGTTTTCAAAGTTTGCTTTTTGACATTAATAGACATTTGAAGGAGAAGATCTTGAATTTAAAGTGACAAAGGAAATATTAAAAAAATATCAAGTTGATACTTGGTAAAATTGCATACTAAGTTATTGAATGTTTTTCGATTGATTTTTAGTTTTTTTTTTTTTTGGAAAGAGGGCACGTAATTCGGGGTAGTTTGGATGATTACATACATACATACATACATACATATATATTTTGTACTGAAAAGGTTTTTTAACCGTGATAAGGATTAAAAGATAATTTTCGCTAGACTCTCACAGATTTTAAGCCAAGCAAAAGTTGTAGTTGCAAATTATTGAAATTGTAAGAAACAAATCTAGAAATTGGTCTCCATTTGAGTTACTTCTCACTAAAAATCCAGTATTTAACTTTAAGGTGGAGTGTTGTTGTATGTATTTAAATACCATCTTTGCCGCGGCCAAAAAAAAAAAAAAAATTGGGGATGAAATATAATTTTTCAGGGACAGACATCGGCGTAGCCAGAATGAAATTTAAGGGGCCAAATAAAAAGAAGAAGAAGGCAGTACTAACCAATACCAATATCAATTAGTTAGTAAGTTTATATTAAAGTACCCAATATTTATGTCAGCACTGACCAATATTTGTGTCAGTACTCAACTGAGCGAACTTAATAATTCTGACTTTTCAACAGAAGTGCAAGCTTCGGTGCGGATTTTGAGCTGTAGTTGTCATTGGACCATCATTTTTTGATACAAAAAATTCGACATAATGGCGAGTATAATCCTATCATATGTATCATATGTACTTTATGTTAAAATTAAAAAAAAATACAGTTATAAAAATATGTATTTTCTAATCAATTTAAATCTGACGTAAATTATCGGACACCCTTCATATATTAGATGTTGTGGTCACTCATACGCCATGGCCTGTCAGTAACTTTGACTCTTAAATGAGATTTACACATAATTGCGACCAGGGTCGTAGGCAGGATTTTTTTTTGGGGGCGTGGCTTTCCCTCAAAATATTTTTTTGTTTTCACTTTTATTTCAACATAGTTTGATTAAAAGAAAAATACAGATGAAATTAAAATATTTCACACAAACAGGGTTGAAATTTTGAAATTTGTGCCCGCATTTTGTTTGTAAGTCAAATATTAGTTGCATTGTGCTACTATGATAGCACGACCGAGTAATCATAGTCAGCAGTAGTGGAAATTATTATAGCCGCACCAAATTTTGACAAGTAAAATATTATTTTTGTTGTTCTTTAATTTTGGTAAGTCTTTTTATAGTTTATTCTTTAACAATATCCGTATAATATAAAATAAAAGTTTAAAGGCAGTGTCACACGATTGGGTATTTGCCGAAATTTGGTGCAAATCGTATCCCAATTTTGTGAATACCAAAATATTTTTCTTTATCGCAATCACGAAAAATAATTTGTTGAAATTTTTCAATAGAAAATAACTGCATTTTACCAATCTTTTGACTAAAAAAAAAAATTGCCCCAATTTATTGATTGATCTCGGGAAAACTATTAGTAAATACGAATATTTCTATTTACTCTCTACTGCGCTATATATAAGTTTTTTATATCATAAACACCGCGAAACCCATTAAATAAGGGACCGTAACGGTTATGATTTTAATAATAAAAAAAAAAATTTAACCGCTAAATTGGAATAATTTTTTCCCCATAAAATATAACCGTAATTTTATGATTTTTATTTTTTCCATCAAAACTAATCGTAATCTTTATTTTATGGATTTTCAATGATATTATTACAGTTATTTTGAGGTTAAATTTTTAAGGTCATAAAAAACTCAGCTGCTAAAAATTGTCGAAAAAATAGAAATCCAAAAGAAGGATTATTTTTTATCAAAGAAAATAAAAATCACAAAATAAATAACAATTAAATTTCAGCGAAAAAATAAAAACTAAGATTTAGCGAATCTTCTCGATCGAAAAAAAAACAAATAATAAAATCTTTTTACTATTTGTTTATTTACGGACCCTGCATTCAAATTTTACGACTCATCTAGGTTGAGGAAAAATGAAAATTTAAAAAATTATTTTTATTTAGCTGTTCATTCCACATATACATTGGCAATCAAAAGTGAGTGCATGGTGTTTTTTGTTTAATATTTGCAACGTTTTTCAAGTAAAAATTTGTTTGTAATTTTTTTTTACAAAAATATGGTTCATGCTTTAATCGTAACCACATAAGTCAATTTTCAAACTTCATACAGAACATAGAAAAATTCAACAAATTTTCATCTACATATTGTCCATTTTAATCTGAATTTTTAGAATAATTTTGGGTACGCAGACAGATCAGTTATGTAATTTTAGTGAAACAAGTGAAAGTTTTAAGCGGCTGAAAATCGCGTTGATTTTTAATGAATTTTTTTTCCGACGGAATTAGATTAAAAAGTTCAAAATTTAGGCGAAAATTTGTTGAATTCTAATCTAAGTTTTGTATAAAGTCTGTAAGTTTGACTTTGTATGTGGTTTTGATTAAAGCATTAAATATATTTTTATAAAAAAATAACAAAAAAAAAAAAAATTAACTTGAAAAACGTTGCAAATATTTAAGAAAAAACACAATACACTCACTTTTGGTAGCCACTGTAGGTATTTAGTTGTGATTTCATTACACCTAATCAGTGAAAACCTCGTGAAAATGAAAGAAATTACAAATAAGTATATATAAGTATATCAAGCTGTAGCTTTCTCAAATACAATGAATTAAATCTTTGCCAAAAAGTGATTTTCTAATACCCTTATTTGACAACTGTGTCGCCTAGAGCAAATATGAAAATAAAATGAACTGCCAAAGCAAACAACATTTTTGCCAAAAAAGGTCGTGCCAATGAAAATGGTCTGGCTATTTACCGACAAAAAAAACAATAATACGGAAATCTACGAAGAAACCGGCCACAACACAAAACGAGCGGAAAATCGGCAGAAAATCCTCTGTTTGTTTGACCATTTGTTTAGTTAGCTATGCATTTGTATGTTTGTTTGTAAATTGCTATATATATATATATACTATATGAGTATTTGTTGTGCACAATAGGAGTCCAGGACTACAATATGGCGGCCAATTGAACATTTCGGAAATTGGATATTTCGCACTTGATGATGGTCTACAAATTGCCCTCTGGTATCGGAGATCGACCACAATTACAAGGCGAATGGACATGAAGATGGCACGCATCCGTTGCTTGATTGTGGTAAGTAGTCCGTAGTATACTTAGTACTCAATAAGGACACGCATACAGTCTACATACGTATGTATGTGTGTATTAGAAGCATTCGTATTTGCGCTAGCTACACATACACGTGCAACATGGCCGGCCGCAAGGCGAAAATTTAGTGAAGATATGTTCCCGCTTAATGGGGATAAAAAGCGGAAGCAGTGTGGCACATATGTAAGTGGTTTGGCAAGTGCTGAAGAAAGGAATGTGTAGAATAAAAAGAAGTGAAAAGAAAAACTATTGAACAATAGCAAATAAACAAACAAATAAATGTTGAGCAGCGAATATTTGAAAACGCTTAGTTGATTGCGTAGGAGCTTGCAATTGTGTGATTAGAATGTGAATGTGTGTGCGAAAAGGAGCGATGTGATTTGATAGTTATATACACACATTTGTATGCTAAGTGTATGTTATGTATATGTAGTATGTTGTTATGTGTGCAATTGCTCTGTTGTTTGCCTGGTGTCACAATGTCCTTTGATTTCCCAAGTGGAAGTACGTACCATGTATGTATGTCCCTGTGTTGTGCGTTGTCCTACGGCAAGAAGATTTCAAATGGTTGCAGAATTGTATACGTACTTGTATGTGTGCACACATATGTGCTAATGCGAGTGCAAAGTGTGTGTTTGATTTGTATTCAACTCTGCAACTTGTCGCAGATAAGATAGGTGACAGAAATATGTACATTAGGATGCATCACTCGCCAGACAACAACAAAAAAAGAAATCGGTACAGTTTTTTCAGTGGAGTTATAAAATTACTTATATTTAAAAACTTTCACCAAAATATTCCGCAAAATATTAAAATTTACGCTCGCTGTGCCGATTTTAAAATAACTCCAAAATTCACACTATTTCGATTCCGTTGACACAATTTATAAACACTTTTATGTAGACCTTTTAAGCTTAAACTCCTCCAGCATATGAGGTGATGCTTTTTGGAAAAATATTTTTTTTAAATGTATATTATTTAAAAAAATAAGATTTTTGATGATCTTTTCTGATCGGTCCTGCTCACGTAAATCATAATACTTTTTCAAAATATTTTGGCAAAAATCTTAAAATAAAATAAATTTTATAATTCTGATTAAAAAATTCACATTTTTTTTCGGTGAGGCACGCTAATGTACATACATCGCGATGTAGGAATGAGAATGGACATATATGTAGTTTTCGAGTAAATACGTACATATGTATATCCCAAAGCGTTGACGCTAAATGACAGCTGAGGCTTCACGGCTGCCAAGCGGAATAGAAGAACTGAGATGAAAGGATTTTTATGTTAGAACTGTAAATCACATCAACGTAAATAAGTATTTCTATATATGCAGTAGAACTTATAATCGCCGCAGTTGATTGGCACAAAAAAAATATATAGGGACATACATAGTACAAATATCTTTTGCTGGTTGTGTGGACAAACTTCTCCTAGAAATTGCGTTATGTCCATTGATATATTTATGAAAATACATAGAGTGGTCAATAGTTACAAAAATTTCGTACCTGAAAAAAAAACTTGGGTGATAGTTAGTTTACCCTAAAGGCACTGGAGATGTTCGAGTTCCCAAGAAATTTAGTGGAAATTTAGTTTGAAGCTAAACACTGATTGCAGCTTGAATGAGTGCATGGTAAAAAAGCTAAACAGATAGCGGAATTTCATATCAAGAAAGCAGCTACGATCGTTGGTTGATTTGCTTAATTTCAACATGGTGTCAAGCAGAGACCTTTTAAATAAGAATACAATTTTGAAGTAGTGAAGGACTTTGGCTACCTAGGAGCCAGTATAAGCAGCACCAAAAATGCTAGCCTGTAGATGGAGCGAAGAATAACTCTTGTAAATCGGTGCTACCTTGAACTCGGTAGGAAATAGGAGAGCAAAGTAGGACAAAAGAACTGCCGCCTCTACGTGCACTGGTGCAAAAGTGCCCACTTCCTTGAACGACTAATTTTTTAAGCCCTCTAAGTCAAACTGCAAAGAGTTGTGGAGGTTGTGGATGTGGCATGCTGACTTGCATCTCAGCGAGCTTCGTAGATATGTAAGACATTCCGTAGACACCTTTATCCCATAGGCTAGGAAAAAATGAGAATGTCAGACTATTATATTCCTTTTCTAATGAAGACTCTCGCGCCTGAACAGTCGTAACAGAACTCCACAGGGGGAGGGAGGCCAGCGTACTCTCGCCTGTTCTATAGAGAAGACGTAAGATCTCTCTTTCTAAAGATAATGTAAGTACTATATGTATAAACCTTAAACCAGAAAATTATATTGTATAGCGCTATCTTCTGGAAAGTTTTCCAGGGTCTTCATTAGTTAAGAAGTTATGGGCAAAGCGTCGCCTCGATATGCATTGACTACGGACAATCAAGAGAACTTTTTCAGCTGGCTAGGTGCCAATTCTCGCTTCCAACGGGAGTCTTTACCGGGCAATCGCTAGTAGTTGGTCATATGGTACGAGTTAATATTATATTTTTCTTCTACTGAAATGCATAAATCGATTTAAAGCAGGAACCGTAATCGTTATGATCATTTTAATAAAAATCATAATTTAACAGTTAAAGTTGACATATATTTATTCGATAAATTTTTGATCATTAGTTTTGGTTTTAAATTTTATAAACCATAATATAACCGTTGTTTTTAGTTCATACAATATATCGGTTAACAACGATTGGAAAAAATCATAAAACAACGACTTAATTTGACAAAAAAAATGCATATTTAAAGATTATTCTTCATCGAAAAATGAAAACAAAAAATAACGACTTTGCAATGATCCAAAAAAAAAACAATTGTTTCTGGTCCATGGGATAAATCAGTTATAGGCAGGGACCGTAATGGTTATGATCTCACCAAATTTAACTGTTATTTTATCATTTTTATTTTTTCGATCATAACATAACCGCTATTTTCAGATTAAATATTTTGGTCTCTGATTTTAGGTGAACATAAATAAATGTCCGGGTGCCCCCGAAAAGCGTAAAACAAAGTTCAAATTTATAAAAAAAATTTCACTTATTTTTTTATTTGAACAAGAGTTGAAAAAAATTAGGTATGCAGTATTATAGCGCATTAAATTTTTTTCGTGTTGGGCAACTCCATAATACCTTTCAACATATTTTATTTTGTAGCATTTATTTAGAGAAACAAATAAAAATTCAAAAATCGTGTTTGACAAATAAATTCAAGTTTGGCACCACTGTATGTCAATTGGCCTATAAATAAAAGAACTTCACCAAATTTCCTTAAAATCAGGGAAAAATGGAATTTGGGTGGTAACACTTGAAGTGGTTTGCCCCATGCAAAACCTGTCGACTGAGCCGTAGCCGATGTACGTGCTTCCAACTGGTCGTAGGTTCGATTCCCGGCCCGACTAACATCTAAAAAATGTTTTTTTTTCTCTGCCAAAAAATGACAAGCCTCAGAGTGTATTTCTGCCATGAAAGAGCTTCTAAGGATCGGCTTAAAACCACCACCAAAATAAGGCACATACCACCAAATAAATATATGTAATTGGTGCTTACATCTTTTCTATGTTCTTGTATTTGTATTCCCTAGGTTAAACGCACTTGTCGCCGCTTTTTTGTAAATTTAAAAATACAACTGTGTGTATGTGAAAGGATTTAATTTAAAAACATTGTGTGGCATGTTCAGCTGCTGTTTCATAAACTAGCAATGTACGTATGTATGCATGTACATACATAAGTCAGAACGCCTGTCATTTATCACAACTCTTTCAGCCATTTCTTTTAATATTATCTTTTTTTTGCATTTTTTTCCTGCAGGTAACAAATAAAAATTTTACAGATACCCTGGAGCATTATCTAACAACACGCTACGATACGCATTTGGATTCAATGAATCGCTTCAATTTTGCTTTACTTTCGCACGTAAGGGATTTGTACAATTTCAGGTTCGTTAAAACCCTTTCTCAATAATATATGTAAGTATTACGCTTTATAGATAAAAAAAAAAAATAAAAAAAAATCTGCGAATTTTTTTTCCATTTTAAAAACCCATTGCCACTTGCAGCACACTTACCGATACCCTATTTTAATTTCTACATCGAAATGCCCTAAATAGTTTATTCACACTCTTTATTTTAGTGTTTTTTTTTTGGTTTGTACTCCCTACTTCGTCTTGCCCCATGGAACTTTGACTAGCTCTTTGCAGCGCTGATTAAATGTGGGTGGCAACATTTCGTAAATAGAAATGTTAGAATTACTCTAACACGCTTCGTCACTTTTCGTAGTACATATTTAGTTATCCCTTCTCTCCACCACGGCCATGTCAATGCCAATCTTCGATACAACCCTCCCACAACTCTACGAAATACGAAACAGCCATTGATGCAGCAGTAGATGGAATAGTTAGTGTTTAAATTCTTTTGTTGTCGGTATGTACGACTATGAAGTGGTGCTGTTGAAAATTACGATTTCCCTGTTGTAATAAGAGAATGAAATAAAATGCGCAGTGCTTTTTATTTGTGGTGCAGCATTCACTGAAATGATTAAGAGAAACTCGTAATGCATAGACCTCGTTGGGATGCACTGTAGCGAATCGAAGTTTACTCCATATGTATGCAAGTATTTAATTTCCTAATTTTCATTTAAAATTTGTGCAGTTTTTATGAAAAAAAAAATAAAATATGAAGTTCTGGGTACGTGTGGAGCTAGAGAACGCCATCCTACATATGTACATAGACACATAGTCGAAAACGATGTGACGAATGGATTTGCCAGACCTGAAGTCAAACCAATAAAATGGGTCATAACAGGCTTCAGTGTTTCCCAAATTCTAGTTCATATGTCCCTATAAGAAGGCTTAAGCATGATAACGCTGCTAAAGTTGGCGTAAATCAGCGTAAATACGGAATACTCCAAATTTAAGGCTTAGCCGCCATACTTAGTTGCTTTTAAGTTGTTTTATTGCTGTTCTCCTTTCGTATTAAACGAATGGAGTCACGTGAACTTCGCCTTCTGCAGCAGCCTTCTTCGTCCTCAAATGCTGAATCGGAGTCACTTTTCAAAGGCATTGAAGAGTATTTTTTACACATCTCAGTTTTGCATTCCCTTCTTTGCAGGAACCGGAACGGCCTTGAAATCATTTGATTGCTGCTTTATTTTCCGATAACTTTTCGGACCACATTTAAACTTCTTTGGTCTTACGTCTACTTACATACTTCGCTATTCGTAACGCAGTCATTGTTACCGCATTTCTCGCTGCAAAGACTTCAAAGTATTTGAAACACTCTCCTTAACCAGCCTTGGGGTAACCATCCTAATGGATGAGACTCTGATCTTCGCTTTGCTGCCTTAAAAGATAATCATTCTGGAAGACTTTGATCCATCCCCCATTGAAATTGGATCTATAGTGCTGGGCTCATAAAAATTCGCTCGATTTCTTTCCTCCATTCTTGACCCGCCTGGGTAACTTAAGAAAAATAAATTTCTGTTTCTGCACTGCCAGATATTCATTTGTATTTGCAGCTTTTTCGAGTCTGCTTCTGCTTAAGCAAAAATATGGAGTGGAGTCCATCCGATTAGCGAATCTAGGGCCGCAGTTGAACCACTTCTTTGAACTTATAGTCGGGTAAAGAAATTCTATTAAAATAGAGTTCAGTTTCCAAAAGTCTCAAATAGCTTGGGGTTTCTGACAGACGGAAGTTCCAGCTTAGTCTCTTATGACGGATAACTTTAAGATATTTTGCTTCTTCAGAATGCTAAAGCACTATCGCTCCAAGGACAGTCGAAGAAATGGTCGGCTTAGAAAGAACAGCATTTTGAGGGTTTATTCTGGCATTCTGGTGGCTATTGGTCGTCCACCGTGTTGCTTAAGGACGAAGGAATGCATTCGACAGTTGCAATTTTTTTTCGGATGGTATATTTAGAAAGCTAACTAAGTACATTTAGAATCCAAAATTAATTGAATTATTTCCCCACAAGCTGATTAAAATTTCCCTTTATAAGAAGTGTTTTTTTGTTTTTTTTTCTAAACAAACTGAAATAAATAATTTTTTTAAAACCGACATCTAAAGTAATCGATTAAGTATATACATACGTAAATGGGTATGTATGTTTGTGCGTTTTTAATTTCCATTTTAGCAAGAAAAAAGATGTGGAATTTTTTTAATGTTAATTTTTATATTTTAGAGAACAAATTTAATTATTCAAAATCCAATTACCATAAATAATTATATAACAGCACACGTTTGAGCAAAATAGCAAAACCAAAAAAAAAATTGCTTTTCTTTTCCAGTTTTGTGCTATCGAAAACTGCCTCCTGGGGCTACCTGAAGAATGGCAAATTCGATGGAATGATTGGAGCGCTGGTACGCAAACAAGCGGATATTGGTGGTTCGCCGATTTTCTTTCGCATCGAACGTGCCAAAGTGATTGATTACACGACACGTACGTGGGTGGCCAGGTGAGTGGTGCTAGACGAGAGGCAAATAAACGCTAGGTGAGTGAAAATGATAAATTGTAAAATGAGAGGAATGCAGCAGTTCAGTTCAGTTCAGCTAAGTTCAGTAGCAGGAGTTGAAGCCAGCAAGGCAGCTGCTGCTAAGGATGCCCATGGCCAGTATAGTTAGTGACAGGTATTTTATTTGCTTATTTAGACGCTGTGGTTGGTGTTGCTGTTAGAGTAAAAAAGTGGTGTTCCTACTCCTACGAACAACTTAGGCGAGTTGACTCGCCCGTGGCGTGCGGCCGGACGTGATTGGAGTGATTGTTAAAGGTGTTGTTGCAATTGTTACCCCAAAAAATTGTTTGCGGTTTAAGCAGCATTGAAATTTTGTTGTTGTTGTTGTTACTGTTATTATTGCTTGCGGTTTTTTTAGAATATTTTAAAAAGCAATTTGTTGAAAGCTTTGCACTTGAAAGCATCAATTGAGTGATGGGCGTGCGATACCGCGCAACAGCCCGGCGGCTGTGGCCTATAAGCGGGCGGACAACTTTGGTTATTTCCCTAATGCCTTTATTGCTGGTTGGTTCACCTGTCACCTTTTGTTGCTCTTGTTGCCCGCATTGTTGTTGTGGTTTATTTAATTTCGCATATTGTAAGCTGTCAATGGCATGAAAAATGATATTAAAACGACCGGAGCGAGACCTGCCGTTTAACACTTGAGCGGTGTGTGTTTTTTTTTCTTCTTCGTATTACCGTTATTGTCAACAATTGTTGCTGTTGTGCTCTTTATTTGTATGTAGTATATTTATAAATGTATATAGCTGTTGTCAGTATTATTGTTGCCGCGATAAATGTTTGTATGTTTGCCCTTTGCGGTTGACAAACATAAATCTTCTCAGCGATATCCCAAGCAAAAAGTCATAGCGGGCAGGGAGCGTGTACAATGGCATTTGTTTGTTCGTATTAATATACCCACTTGTGTGCAAAAATACTTTTGTCTGCGTATTAGTCGGCTTTGGCGGGCGTGAGCATACACATTTATGCATACATATAAGCATTAGAGTGTCCCACGCTTCATGAACAAAAATTTGGATATTTTTCCAAAAAAAAAAAATCGACTTTTCTTCATATTTCATGCACTTATCGGTGCAAAATTTCGTGATAAAAATATAAAAGAAAGCGTAATTTTTTTCTGTGGAAATTTGTGAAATTTTCTGTCGAATAATTTTTTAAAATCTTTTAATCCTCTAGTAGTTCTCTCGATTTGCTGGACATCGCCCATGCTTCTGTGCCATATAGAAGGACGCATATGGGTTTTGTAGCGGGTCATTTTTGTTCGTGGAGTGGGATCTGTTTTTTCAGTTATATACCAAGCCCAAAATAGCACCTGGTGGTAAGGTTATTGATCTCCGGGTTGACATAGTTGGTGGTGTATGCTGAATCTTAGGTAGACAGAGTCCTCCACTACATAAAAGTTATGACTGCCAACAGTGGCGTGTGGCCCAATACGTGAAGACTTTTTATGTGTTGTCAGGAGGTACCTCATTTTGTCCTGGTTCACCGCTAAGCTGGAAAATATTTCACTGACGACCCTGGTTCTCAGTCCGACGATGCAAATATCATCTGCAAACGCCAACAGCGTCGTAATTTTATTGAATATTATGCCGATGCAATTCATAGTTTGACAGCTGTTATTACGCTTTCTGGCATCAGATTGAAAATGTCACATGAGAGTGGATCGCCTTGTCTAAAACTTCGCTTGGTCTTGGTCTCAAACAGCGCGGAGAGGTCTTTTTCAATTTGAACAGAGTTGAAGGTTGTGCTCAACGTCACTCTACATATTATTTTTGTCGGGATCCCAAATTAAGCCACACCATTGCACAGTGGCAGAAAGTCCAAGTTTGGACTCTAGACATGCCTATTGACACGGTCTAAGGCTTTCTTCGAAAAAAAAAAAATAGTACTAAAGGGCACTTGATGGCGATGTCATATGAATCGTATTTTTACGTAAAAATTAGAATAGGAATTTCAAGGACTGAACACTGTCAATTGAATGATTGGTTTTTGTTGGAGCTACGTTCATCTTTAATGCCAAGCTCAATAGTAAACTATGGTTGGTCTTTAATAGCTTTTCATGAGTTTTCCTATTTTTTTCAGAGTTGAAAACATTTATATGATGTAAAGCATTTTCAGTTACTTTATGGAGAGTGTATCTACAACTAAATTGCGCCGACGTGCCCAGGGTAAACTATTGAAACAAGCTCCAGTTGCTAGAAACCTCTGGCCTTGTGTTTATCTCTGATAGACTGTACACTTCACATTGACAAATCCCCATATCGATGGCTGAGTGGAAGATCGACCTAACTAGGCAGTCAGCTCGAAAACATCCTATCTCAGGAAACTTTTCAAGAACGTCCTACTTCAGAATTTGTTTGAAGAATGCCCTATCTCAGGATTCGGTTCAAAAACGCCCTATCTGACCACATTATCAATGCATTTTCAGCTGAGCTTGGGCGTTTATGAACCAAATTTTGGAATAGAGCGTTCTTCAATCAAATTCTGAAATAACGCGTTGTTGAAAAATTTTCTGAGATAGGGGGTTTTCGAACTAACTGCCGAGATAGGTCGATCTTCTACTCAGGTATCGATATATGCTGTGGCAAAAAGTAGTAATTGAGATCCGATTTTACTGAAATTTTTCTTGCAGGAATGAAGAAGTACAATAACAATTGGCATAGATTGGTGAACTTCTTCGTCCACTACAATAAGAAGTGGGTATGGTGGATGTTATTCGAGTTTAATAAAATTTGGTTTTTATAAATGGATTTCTTATGATTAGTGGGCGCACTAGGTGGTCGATTTCGACAATTTTTCGGGTTTATACTTTTCTGGTTAAAGCTCAGATATAAACCGAATTTCATTAAAATCGGATAAGTTTTGTTATTTCCGCCGCCTAGTAGAGTGGGCGTGGCAATTTGCCAATCAACGCGATTTTTCAGATTTATTAATTTTTAGACCAAAAAAAAACTAGCACAGATAAAAAATAACAGTAAAATTGGTACTTTATGCAGTCTCTTGCACTGTTTGTCGTACAGGCAGCTTTCTCTTCGTGCTAGAAAAATTGGCTTTGACTCAATAGTAATAATTTTTCGCTGAGGCACCCTAACATTCTTAGTCCAGTTATGTATGAGTGAGTATGAATGGCCGATTAAATACTCATTTTTCTTCTTAAGCGCAGCAAATTTATGCGTTGCTCAATTTTTGCCCGTGTCACACTCACCATCGACTTGCCTCTTATCAGCCTTATCGAGCTGTGTGATTTGTTGCACGTGTGCGTGCGGCGAGGTGTAGTTGCACTTGCGTGGCTTACTGCATTCTTGCGCTGACTTTAGTATTCATATTGTGTTTGCTTTTTGTGTGTTTTGTTTGTTAGTGTCTGCTTGCTTTTTTTTTTTTTTTGGTTTAAAATAATTTTCCGCTCCGCCTCCAGCTGTGTAAACGACAATTTAATGCCTGCCACCATTACTCCTGTCGCTTGCTTAGATGTGCTCCTGTTGCTCCCTTGAGTGTATAAAGGTCACGACAACACTGACTTGACAGCAACTTAAGTGGCAATGAGACGCTCTGAGTCTGTATGTATGTAGTGGGCGGACGTTTGGCGGCAGTTGGTTGTAAAAAAAAACAAGGCAAGGCAAGGCATGGCGTCCGACAAGCAATTTGTTCAGTCCACACTGCTTACACAAATAAACATAGACGCTTATACATACATATTTACACAGTTCTACACGTACTCGCATAAGATTGACACATTAATTGAAACTAAATCCTGCTGGGGACATGTTTGTTGATTTAATTTCTTGGTGTAAAATAAGATTTATGTTTTGTGGCTTTTCACCTGCTGCGTTTGGCCTCGGTGAATCTGAATAGTGTTTAGTTATATGCTTTGTAGTGGTGTGTGATAGCATAGTTGAGCTGGGACTATCTTTTTGTAAACATACATATACGTATGTATGTGCATATGTATTCAATATCCAAGCGTACACATTTTAGTTTTCAATTATCATTTTAAATATGTTATTTCAATTTTCAGACCTTGCTTCATATTTCGTCATCCGCCAAGCACCAAAAAGGATCGTATCGTATTTTTGCAACCCTTTTCAAATACCGTTTGGGTTTCATTAGGATTTTGTGGCATCTTTACCATATGCTTGCTGTGGTTATTGACAACGGTCGAAAGACGCTTAGAGGCTTTGGGGGTCGTAAAAAAATTGGGTGAGCATGGAGGAGAGATAAAATTTCTAGTTTTTAAATTTATTGTAGATCTTGAAGGTATAAGCTATAACCACTGCTTGCACTGTGGTATATTTTTGTAAAATCTACAAAAAGCGCAAGAACAACTGAACGAAGTAGGAAGGTAGATACACTTAGATATATATGAGTAGAAAATCTTCAGAAAAATAACTTCCGGTTAAGTAAAAGGAATCTGGCTAATTCCTTGCTATAGAGACGCCGTGCTAAAATACGCCACTAGTCATTTGGGTATGGCACTGGTCCTCGCCTCAACATAATGATAATATCCATTGAGTTAGGTGACGGCGGCTCTTAGGGATTACACTGTTGCAAGAAATAAGAGACTCGCCATATTTTGACTAGTTTTGACTATATTATTTTTTGTTTTATTTAATGGTTATTACTTTTTTATAAAAGTCTCGCTAGTTATACAACAAACAACATACAAATCCACACTTCAATCCTTGTACACAAATTATAAAAATTCTAAAATTTTTCGCTAAAATTAAAAAAATTTTAATCAGATTTTTTAGAAAATTTTTTGATATGCAGTTTTATATTATAGTCCATTCAGTTCTAGTATAATAAAGTTAAAGTTTCAAGTGGCTATAAGCTTACGTTAATTTTTAATGATTTTTTTTTGCTTATGGTATCACTCATTTTTTCTATACAAAATATGTTCGAAAATTTTTTTATATGGAAGAGAACACCTAGCAGCATCAAAATAAAAAAAATTGTCATGGCTATTGAATGGGCTATAAAACTGCATATAAAAAAAAATTTCATTGGTTTTGAAAATTGATATATCCGGCGTGCTTCACTACGCCTTAAAAGTATTTGTTTATTGTTACTCCCTCTCAAAACTCTTATGGCTTCATTCATAAAAATAAAATAGATTTAAAGAGCTTTATGAAGTGAGATTTTCAGGGTGTTAGTTAATATATTTTCGAAGGTATTTAATCCTGGAAATTTGATTTATAATCTTCTAACTTGATTTTACATATCGGGTACTTCCTTCAAAGGGGTTCTAATTCAGTATTTAACTGAATAAAAGTTTTCAAATAGGTGGCAACCCAGTACAAAATTTTCTGAGAGTAAACTGTCTTAAATCTTTTGAGGTTGATACCCGCATTGTAATATTTCATTTATTTTATCAATTTAATAATTGAATACATTTTTTCAAACAGGTGGCAAAAAAATATTTTTGGCATTAAACTTTCCTAAAATTCTTTGGTTTGATAACCATATTGCAATATTTAATTTATTTTATCAATGGAATCAAATTAAAATTTTCAAAAATATGGCAACCTTCCACCAAAATATTTTCGACTATAAGCCTTCTTAAACCTGTTACTTTTGACAGCCATATTGCAATATGTACTTACTCTTATCAATTTATTTCAACTACAATTTTCAAAGAGGTGGCAACCCTCTAATTATTATTTTTTCTATATTTTAAATCAGACCTTAAGCAATGCATGAGTGAAAACTGCATTCGCTTCCATGCATTAGTTTTCGAGTGATGCGCGTACAAACATAAATACATACAGATAGACAAAAATTCTGAAAATTGTTGATTTGGCTTCTGTTGCCAAGCCAAAAAACTGTGGCCATGGCCTTATTGTCCGACTTACCCACTCTGGCCCTCTTTGATGTATACGATCTGGCTATCGTTGGCTAGAGCCATCAAATTACTGAAGAGGTCAACTACTGGCTCCCAACATTGTCTGAGCCACCCCACCGCGACATTCACTCGTTTTTTTTTAACGGCTCTCACCTATGTCTAGAGTCTCCGAACGACCAACATGCAAGCAAGCAGGTACCGGCTTCCCGAGAGTCTTTGATCCCGACACCACTCACCATGGCTGTCGCCGTATCTGAGTGCTTAGAGGTGCGCACTTCCACTCGGTACGGCGATGTTTATAGCAAAAAAGAAAAATAAAAACGTGTTTTTATTCTAACAGCGGTCGCCCCTCGGCAGCCAATGGCAGAAGCAACTTCTCATAAAACGACATTTGTCGTAAGGGGGTGCTTAAAATATGAAGCCCAAAATTGTGTACGGGGCACCCCTTTATTCTGTACTTCCTACAAAATAAACACATCCACGAAAATTTGCAATAATTTGCGTGCTTTCAAAAATTTAAATTTTTTTAAAACGCAAAAGTTCGACAAAATTTTTGACTATGATCAGCTATAACTCAGCGTACTGAAACCTATTCGTATAAATTCATAAAGTGGCTGAATTTGTACAGGTCAAAGTTATGTAAAATTTTCGAGATGTAAAAAAATTATTTTTTTTTTCAAACATGGCCAGCAACACTTACATACATTTTTTCAAATTTGAAATTTTCGTGGAAGTTTTATTTTGTACGTATAACGAAATAAAGCGCTGCCCTATGGTTTTGATATTTTTAAGAACCACCCTAATGCATGTAATACATATCTGAGTACAGCTAGCGCGCATAACACTTCTTCTAATCGGTATTGCAAAAATGCCTTAAAAAAAGAAACTCAAACTTCGGCCTAGCCAAAGTCAGTAACCTTCTTGTAAGCCTTGAATCTATAGCAAATGGTTTGCTTCTACGTCCGTCTATAAAATTTATCAATTTTCTTCGACATTGTCGTCCGCATGAAATCTCATTAAACTGCCAGTTATTGCACATTCCGTTAATAAAATTTTGCGCCTTTTCCTTTTTTATCTGCGATGAAGTTCAAAATTTTTCTTTTCACTTTAGTAATTTTTATAACCTTCGACGCTGACGGCTTCATAAAATACACACACCCATCTCTGTGGGCCAGTGAGGGGCAACCGATAGACAATGCAAAACTTTCTGACGTTATAAATCAAAACTTTCAATTTTCAAGCAATTCAAAGAGCCAAAATTGCGGCAAAACGCCAACAGGATACATGGGGCAGGGCTCCGAGGACGAACGTGCAGTGAGTGCACCAGCTAGTCAGTAGTAAGTTGGTGTGCGTTGTCGTGCCTGAACTTTGCTAGTTTCATTCATCGATTGCCATTGCCAGTATGCAGCAATCGTTGGCAATCGCGCTGGTGATTAGTTGCAATGGCTGCTGCAGGACATGCTGGGGCACTGAGCAAATATCGTTTGCAAAAAGTTTGCAGCAACGAATGCTTGCTTGCTTTTGAAAAATGCGAGGAGCTCATTGCCATTAAATGCTCGGCTCCATTGCGTACGTACGGTGTATGCGCAGTGCTTTTGCGAATTTTGCGTTATTTCTTGCAACGCCCGAAGTCAAAAAGTACTCACACACTCTATGTTTTTCTTTCCATATCTCCTTTCATGCCAACAATTGACTGACTCCCTTGTGAATGCTGCGACACAAAAGGACAAAGCGTACGCGACAACAACAACAGCAACAGCAGTAAGAGCAACAACGCCGCCAAACAACAGAGTGCAATCGGCGGTAATGATGAACTACTAGGACGTTACTGTTCCACACGAACGACGACGACGACGACGACGACGACGAAAAGTGGCTGTGGCACAATGCATTGCTGCAGCAACGATAATGCCGCCGCAGCCGCCGCCTTGTTGTTTGGGCCAACAAAAGCGCAACGGAAACAAAAGATGGGCAAACTGGGAAAGTTGGTGCAACAGCAGCGCAAAGCGGAAGAACGGAAGAACATGAAACGTATTAGCTGCAGGCCCTGCATGCTCGGCTGTGGCAGTGCGTGCTGCGGCCAGACAAGCACCGATGTGACGCAGCAGCGTTTCAGCTTATTCTTCGAGTCGGTGCTTTTCTACGTTAGTTCCATTTGTCAGCAAGGTAAGTCGCATGACGCCGCGCCGAGGGAGGTGGTGCTGTAAAAACTAATATACGCAAGAACTTTGATAAAACGTGGGAAACTATCGAAATATTTGGAAGTAGTATGTTTGTGTGCTCCCAGTGTTATTGGCTTTTGTGTATGTGAGTCGGCATGTGTGGCATGCAACGCAATTTAGGTGGTGCACACAAGTTTACTTTCCTACTTTGCTTTCATAACTAAGTACATAGTATAGTTTTGCTTCATTTTCTTAGGTCGATTTAAGGTTGCTGGGTTCAATTTCGCTTGTTTGGCTTTGTTGCAAGACTGCCATTTTGTAAACATTACTGCACAAATTGTTACCGAGTTTGTGGGTGTAAGAACTATTTGCTTGATTTGTACAAAAGCAATCTTGATTGCCATGCTATTTACAAAGCAAGGGTGTTAAGTGAAAAGTAGGATTACATTGTAATTTGAAAGTACATATCTGTAATTTGAAGATTAGCAGGTGTGGCAAAGGGGATACGAGAGGTCTTATAAAAATCCCAAGCTTAATTTAAAAAAGAAAATAAATTTTATACCTTATAAAACAAATCTTAAATTTTGCACAGACGGCCTTATATGATCGATTAGTAAACAGATTCTTAAACTTATATATGAACAGTCAGGGGTGTGAGAGATATAAATACTTAATAACTAGACACCGATTTTGACGACTTTGCCAGTGGACCTTGTGTGGCTTATTAGCAGGAGAAAAGAGTTCACTCGGGGGGTCACAAGCCCCTTTGCGATGCCCAGGGTGTTTCCCCCATGCATATCCCTACAACCCTTTGAACCATTTGATTCTCTAGCGCATGGTAGCAGTCCCTCCAGTGGAGCTTTCATCCAGATATTCAGGCTCTAGAAGAAATAATAGGCAAGAAATTTGAGGCATTTTCCTCGGAGTAATGGGCACTCGCAAGTGCTGGAGTGTTCCTATGAGAAACCTAACGTTTGGCTTTGAAAGCCTTAATAAACTCCAAGCTCCTCGTTCGTCCAGCCGTGACCAGAGCAAGCGCGATACCAAGCAGGGGTGCAGATTTTTCCACCTACTATTGGCGGTTGCCCTGGTCACTCTCTCAACTTCTGGGAGCAGAAATCGCAGGGGTGCTTTTACGATATGGATCGCTTCCCCAAGTCCCATATCAGATCCTTTTCTAGAACATTCGTACGGTACACCACTCTGTTCCGTGACTCAGTAGAGATTGATTGTGTGTTGCTGTAGAGCTTGTAGAGATCTTTGAAATTCCTTAGCGCAAATGGAGTTAGTCGTTGCCAACCCGAAGGCGTTGACATCAACTTGATTGCCAACAACGAAGACAAGTTAAGATGGAGCTAAGTCGATCGTACTCACCAGCTTTCTCGCAATTTCGATGGCATATATCTCAGCCTGGAAAATACTGCAGTGATCTGAGAGTCTATAGGACTCTCTCATAGAGATCTCCTGAGAAAAGACCCAGATCGCTGAAGTTCTCAGGAGTAAGGCGTTGCGCGATCTAAAAAACATAAAAACAACGGACTGAAGTTATAATACCGTTCTATGTTGATGAGAGATATAAAAAGATTCATTGATGGAGATTTAAATTCAGTGAACTTTGTTGTAAACAGGTTGAGATTATAACTAAATAAGCATATGTCAATTTCAAAAGGCAGTTCATAAGCCAAGAAGTCTGAGGTTCGCCTGAGTGACGCAACGACTACGGTTTTTTTTTCTTTTTAATCTCAGTTCAGAATAGCGCTGTACCGCGAATGAGTTACAGAGGTTCTAGACAAAAAAAAAATTTTTATTTTCAAACCGGTTTCGATGTTGTGCCATCTTCAGTGTAATTTTTCGTTCTCTGTAACTGAAAATGGCACCGAGTTATTGAGTTGATCAGCATCAACGCTGCCTCCTATGATTTTAGAAAATTATAGATAATAAGGTGATCCTCAAATTATCGGCATGCAAAGTTTTTATGGGGCACCTTCTTATTTTGTTCTACGTATAAAATTAAGACATCGATGAAAATTTCAAAATGTTAAATACATTTTTAAGGGTCGCTAACAGATTTTGAAAAAATTAAAAAAAAAAAAAATGATATTAAAGCACATAAGTTCATAAACTCACTGAGTTATAGCTGAGCAAAAAAATTTGGTCGAATAAATTTTTTCAATGCCAAAAAGTTTTTTTTTTATTTTGAAATTTTCTTGGATGCCTTCAATTGGTACGTAGAATAAAATAAAATTGTGTGTGTCCCATGATATGGATATTTTAAGTACCACTCTAATAGATTGATTAAAATACGTCTTGGCCTTACTGAAAATAGCAAGAAAAGGCTTGAAGGTCCATAAATAATTTAGTTAATTTTAATTTCATAGTCATTTCAAATGTCAGCCTCTGCATTGATGCTTTCAAAATGCACCTATAATTCACATACGTAAGTATGTAATTAAAGTATGTGAATACATATGTACATATGTTAGTTCTTCAGTGGCATTCCTAGTTTTTGTTAAATGAGGAAATGCGCTTCACGGCTCCAATCGATTCCAGCTAAAAGCAAGTGAGCAGAATAATTGTGGTTGCAAGAGTTACTTGCACACGATGCGAAGGTAATGACTTCAAAGTTTACTGTCGTGAAACTGCAAGTAATTCGACTATTTAGCTGTAGATAAATTACATGGCAACTACTTAGTATTGGCGGTGATGTATAATTTTCCGCAATTGGCAGCGGAAAATGTGAAAAGTTCGTGGCATTGGAAGGTAAAAATAGTGCTAATTACTTCAGAGTTTTAGGGAATATACAGAATCGCACAAGAACTATGTACATTATCTGAAATTAAAAAAAAATAAATAATGTTAGATAAAAAAGTTGAACAATTTTAAGGTCAATACATACGTAACTTATAAATGCTACACTTCTTGGCTATAAGCTTGTGTTTTGAAATACTCTGTATTTCTTATTTCACATAATCCAAATTATTTTGGCGGCCACTGTATGCACAAAATACTACGTAAAACTGTGGCTGCTTGCATTTGCTGACATTTACTCTCACTCTTCTTCTTTAATTGTTCTTTATTTCTACAACGTATTTATTTGCACCGATCAAATGCGTCCTTGCTTGATGTTGCCCCCAAAAGTAGGACTGACATTTTCGACAAGTTTCTTTTCGGGTCGCTGCATCGTTATTACCAGTCTGCTCTTCGCTTTCGCCATCTATCAATTCTATTCGGCCAGCATTGTGGGCACTTTGCTGATGGAGAAACCGAAAACGATACGGACATTGCGTGATTTGATACACAGTTCGCTGGAAGTTGGTGTAGAAGATATTGCCTATAATCGTGACTACTTTTTGGTGAGCAAAAATAAAGAAAACTGCCTTGCACATATTTTGGTGCTCAAATTCAGAGACTTCTCGTAGAATGGTTTTTTTTTGCACTAGAAATAATTTCTAAATTTTTTCTTATTCCCCATCGCCATGGAATTATACGCCAAGAAAGTGACCAGCGTGCCAATACATAGTGAAACGCACACACCGACGATAGTTAGCAATGCAACCGCATTGCCGCTGCCCGATGCAGCTGGCTTGCAATCCAATGTGGAGCTTACCGAAGCACAAAAGTCAAAGGCATACCGCGATATATTGCATAGTCATGAGACGGGTGCGCATGCCAAGATAAATGAGGCATCCAATTGGTATGATCCGCAATATGGTGTGGATAAGATACGTAGGGGAAGTGAGTATATGTGTGTGTGTGTGTGGAATGCTAAATAAATGCTTCAAAGTATTTAAAAACTTTCAGTTTCAATGCTATGATTTTGGTTAACAGTTTTGTTTAAAGTTATTTATTATATGTACACTGACCACAATTTTCACCAATTAAAAGTAGATTTCTTTATCACAAAGCAGCAGAGCAGCAACTTTTCTAAACACACAAACGGCGGCTAAGTAACCACATGGTTTGCATACATACAAATATATGTATGTATGTACCATAAAAATGCACATGTGCTTTCTATAGATACTCGTCTGCCTATTCACAATTGGTTTTTTTTTTATTATTTATTTTCAAGTGTAAAAAGGATATCTATTTACCCTTCAGAATTTAACTGCAGGGCTTTTAAACTACAATTACGAACGTAACCAACAAACTGGCAGCAGCAAAGGAAGTGAGATGTTGTCATGAACACTATAGTTGTTGCTGCTGTTATTCTTATTCTCCCCCTCTCTGCCATTTATTATGCCCGACTACTATTGTAAGTGAAACGGGAAACCGTAAACCACAAACCGAAAAATGCAAGAATAATTCCTAACGCTTTGGCGCTTTTTCTAGCCGGCGCTCGTCTTTTGCTATTCATATGTTTTATTTATTGTTGCTGTTGGTTTTTGAGCGCTTACTGCATGGTTGGTGGCACTGGATATGGAAATTACTTGTGCATTTTTTGCTTTCAACGCACATAACCGCACTGAGCTCGTATAACACATACATACATATGTATGAGTACTTCTATTTTGCGTGCGTTGTGCCAAACGCATACGGGAGTGTGTGTAGTGCGCTTCGTATGGTGTGCATGCATGACCGTAAGCTTGCGGTTTTGTATTTCAATTCGTTACAGTTATACTCTAGATACTAGATACCTAATTTTCTCTATTGGTGGTATGGAGGATTGCGATGGGCTTTAAAGTGTGGAACAGCGCTGTAGTGAGAACTCACTGTGGAGGAATAATCTTTCTATATGGATGCAGTTTGAAGTCAAATTGAAGGAATTTAATTATAATTAATACAAATAGTTGTTTTGTTATTAGAAATTTAACGTAAATAATGAATGTAGTAAAAGGTTATCTAACGCAACACTGACAAATTAATTCAAATTGCGGAAGGTAATTATCAAAACTTTTCAAAAGCAACCTCAGTGAACGCTTTGTTAAACGACTTAAAACAGACCTTTGATCTAATGAAAGTTTTCCGTAAAAAAAAGGGTCCACATTATCGTGATAATCGTCAAATGAAGTTGTGGCCTCACCATGGAAAAATCCAAGCAAACAATAAAAAAGTTTTTGAAGTGAAACTTCTTTAGCGGCGGTTGGTTGGTTGGGAGTAAATTGGCAAATTCAACGGAAATTGCCCCCGGAAATGGTGCAACGGAAATGGTTGGGGCTGAAACAAGTGCTTATTGTGTGTATGCATATGGTATTTATTTAACAAAAATTTGCTAATAAAAGGTTAAAGAATAGCACTTAGAAAGAGACCAATACAGGAATGAAAGTAAAGGTGACTACGTACATAGATAAGGAAAAGGATAAAGGCAAAGGGAAAAAGAAAAACAAAAACAAACATGCGTAAAGATAAAGGCAAAAATGAAGACCAAGGTAAATTTAAACACTTTACTTATATATATAAGGGCAAAGGTGAAGGGGAATATGTAGATGAAGAAAATGATAAACATAAAAGTAAAAGCAAAGAGGAGCTTGACGATACCGATAAAAGTAAAGATGAAGGTAGGCGAAGAAAGATTAAACTAAAGGTAATTAAAGAGGAAAGGATATATAGAGAGAGACATAGAGACTCAATCTGGCAACTATTTGGGGATTTCAGAGATTTTCGGGATTCTCGGGACTTATCGATAAAATAAATATATAAATAAATATTGGTATCAATTTTGCTATCGAAATTTTCAGAATTTATCGATATAATAATCGATATTTTTATTGATTTTTTTTTACCGATATTAATAAAATTTTGTTATCGATATTTATCGATTTTGCTAAGGATATTTTTATCGAGTTTGTTAACGATATTTATCGATTCTGTTATCGATATTTTTATCGATTTTGTTGTAGGTTATTTTTCTAGTTTGTAAGATAATTAATGTCTTCCTTTCGATCGGTTCTGCAAACAGATTGAAAATAGTGAGATTTCGTAATAAAAATGATATCCCAACACTTATCTTTCAGTAGGATCTGGAGCAAGGAATGAAACCGAAACCCAAACCGAAACCGTAACCGTTTAAAACCGTTTCGTTTTTCAAAACCGAAACCGAAACCGTAACCGTTATCTTGACCTGAAAAGGAACGATACCGAAACCATTTCAATCACAGGTTTCAATCGGTTTCCAGAAATTTACAAAAATAATAAATAAAAATTTCTTTGAAATAAATGATTTATTTAAACAAAATCAGCAACATTTTGCCAAAATTCTTGTTAAGTAGTAAATAAGTATGGCAAGGTAACTTTTCGCAAAAAT